GCAAAGCACATGATTCCAACCAGCTTCCTGACACCTAAAGCATGACATGACCTTCAAAAGGACACATCTGATACAGGACCATACAGTATATCTAACTGGAAGGTTCCTTTTTCCCCCAGTGAGGAATGAACACACAAAAATTTCCATTTACTCCCTAGACAATGAAAATAATCAGTTTTGCCCAAGGGATAGCATATTTGACCAGCTGGCTTTGTTTTTTTGTTTTTTTTAAAGGAAGAACTGCCAGTGTGAATGTAGAATGCCTAATTCTGTGCCTTTTGATGATTCTGTTCGATATAATTGGCTTCACAAATCTGACAGTGCCATTTAAAACTTGCTGGGAGTAACATCTTGCCAATCTGCTAAGAACTCAAAGCAATAACAGGCCATCTTTTAGAGGTACTTCATATGCACAAAGCAGCAGAATGGGATGTTTCTGGAATCTGTGCAAGCACAAGCTGATGGAGTGTAGGACTCTGAGCCGTGACAACAAGGTCAGCATGAAGGGTCAGCCTGCTTGGGGATCTGGAGAGCACTGGGCATTTTTCTGCTTGCATGCAGATTTTACAGGCAAGCAGCATGCTGGAATAAGGCTTGAGAGAAATTGAAATGGACAGATGCCTCTATTCCTACCTGGAACAAGGATAGCAAATGTGGTTAGTGATGTGCTGAAACCTGTCTCACAATTTCTCAAAAGTTTTCAGCTTCTTTGAAAGAGGCCTTTCATTTTTATGCACATTCTTTAGAATTTTGGTGGGTCATGGCTGTGGGCAGTGCTATTTTCCTAGAAAAAGAGGTGCCATAGAATCATAGAGCTGGAAGAGACCACAAGGGCCATCGAGTCCAACCCCCCTGCCAAGCAGGAAACACCATCAGAGCACTCCTGACATATGGTTGTCAAGCCTCTGCTTAAAGACCTCCAAAGACCTCCGTAACTCACCATAAACCCTTGTTTTTTTACAGTGGGAATTATGCCCATCTGAGAATACTCTTTGGTAGAAAATACAGAAAGATAGCTTGAAACACTTGGAGCTAGCTTAGGCACTTCTTCCTTGGTTAGTTACATGGCACTGAGAAAGAGAGGGAACAGGAAGAAAGTGCTTCACTTCCTCTTTCATTGGACAAGAGAGGGCATGGCCTGGCTGTGTCTAGGAATGCAGCTCTTTTGTCTTAACCCTTCATGCACTAACTAGTACAGTGGTACCTTGGTTGTCTTGGCTACCGAACAAATCGGCTCCCATACACTGCAAACCTGGAAGTGAGTGTTCCAGTTTGTGAACATTTTTTGGAAGCTGAACATCCGACGTAGTTTCCATGGCTTCTGATTGAGTGTAGGAAGCTCCTGCAGACAATCAGAAGCCATGCCTTGGTTTTCAAACCATTCCGGGGAGTTGAACGGATTAAGTTCGACAACCAAGGTACCACTGTACTCATGCATAGTTATGTTTCACTATGGTTTCCCACACACACTTCCTGAGCTAAGACCTGTGCTGAGCACAGAGTAGGAAGGGACTCTGAGGATCATCTAATCCAACCCGCTCCAAGGCAGGAATATATACAGCTGTCCCATATGGGGATCAAACTTGCAACCTTGGCATTATCAGCACCATGCTCTAACCAACTGAGCTACGAAACCCCATGGGAAGAGTCAGCTCCTTATGTTTCCCCCTGGGCTCTAATGGAAGCAAGGGCGCCTGGGAAGGCTACAAAGTGAAGACCACTGGTGAGATGATCTCTAGAATGAAAGAAAGGACTCATAAACACCCTTCAGCCACCACAGAAGTAAGGTAAACATGACACAATCCCTGCAATCCACCCATGAGAATTTCACCAAAATTTTGTTTTTCCCCTTTGATAATTTTGGAAGACAATTTCATGAGCACAAATCATCATGAATGCACAGTAAAAAGGATGTCTGGAGGGGCCCTTAAAGTAAAAGGATGTCGCCCATATTATGTGTTAACTGGAATTACTAGTCTTCCTTGGAAGGCATGTTCATGACATCACTTAAATATCTCTTTTGTACAGCTTCAGCGTGTCCTTCAACAATTAAAAAAAAAAGTTTAATTGCTTATGGAGAATCTACATGCCAGACTGATTATGTTTTTGAAGGTAAAATGCCCTTAAACCAGAAGACAGTTGATCAAATTACCATGGCAGCCAAAACAAAAGATTTGTGGCTTTATGTTACTATTTACTGTGAAATTTGCCTTTCAGCTTGATGGACCGACAGGCATTTCAGTCTGTTTTCAAAGGCATTGGTTACTGTTTGTTTATTAAATGTGTGTATGTCGTAAGGAAACACAAAGGGCTGATCCAAACTTGATGGACACCAATAAATAGTTCTTGGAATATCTCACGGAGTGTGTGGTTGATCTTTTATCTTTTTGATCCTCTCTCTTGTAGATTTTAAAAATAATTAACTTTGATACGGTGAATCAAATTCTTTTCTCTCTTTTTTTAACAAAGCAATTTTAATCCCCTTCCTTTGCAATCCTGAACAACTTCAAAATAAGGTTTATAGTTGACATTCTGATCATGACCCAAACTCTAGCTCAATAATAGGCCACGTGTGTATGTGTAACCCACAATATGTTTCTCTAATACAGGCATAGGCAAACTTGGCCCTCCAGATGTTTTAGGACTACAACTCCCATCATTCCTAGCTAACAGGACCAGCGGTAAGGGATGATGGGAGTTGTAGTCCCAAAACACCTGGAGGGCCGAGTTTGCCTATGCCTGCCCTAATACATTGCATTACGCACTTTTAAACATCTGGTTAAACAATTAATATCAAAGACACTGTTAAACTCTTATAAACCAGAAGCTGGCTCTTGGTTTCACATCCTGAATCTAAGGCTGGAAAGGAGAAACCAAGAGAGATGAAAATGACAGATCCTCTCACCCCTGGTGGTAGCATTAGCATATCTTGCATGCTAATGGTTTCATGTTCAACCCTAAGCACCATCAGTTCAAAAGATTAGGTATCCGGGTTGCTGCCTGAAAATACTCATTTAGATGGACCAGAATGTGAATTAACAGCCATGGTAGTCTCTTGTTTTGTTTTGTCTCCTTGAAGTTAAATGGGTGTGGAAGGAAATTGAGACATAGCACTTCCAATCAAATTGCAAGGGGAATTCTGTGTGTTCAGAATTTAATTACTTGAGTTAAAAACTGGAATTTAGCCAGGGTGTGGATTAATGCCTGCCTACGCTTCCGTAGAATGCTGTAGGATTTTCACTACTCAGAGATGATCAGGATTTTAGTTAAATATGCCTCCTTGAAAAGATTGCCTTGCATAAAAGATGGAAACTTCTCAAAAGGACTCTGTATATCTTCACATATGGTAAATATCTCAGACTCTAATCTGTCTGCTTGAATCTTTCCACAGCAAATCATGTGAAAATTCATTCTCCTGGCTGGAATAGGCAGGTGTACATTTCAGTCGTATAAGCAAACCTTGCTTTTCAGGAAACTTAGGGACCCCACACACAGAACTATACAATTAAAATGCTTCTTGTTTCCTTCACCCCAACAGATGAGAGAAGTTGATCAATTGCAGATACATAAATCATGATCACGGACACAGACACCATGGTTGCACGGAACCTGAATCTTTAATTCAGCATTTGACGGATTTTTATTGTCCTGTCCAAACTTGACAGGGTCAAATCACAGTGGGAGAACCAAAGGCCAAACGCTCTCTTTTCAAGCTTAATACGGTGGGTTTAAAACACAGTGTGAGGCTTGGTGAAGTCACCTCCTATCTCCAATGCGAATTTAATGGCTTCTGTCTCGCTCTCTTTTTAAAGCTCTCTTTCTTGATGGATATGGTAAGGACTAGAACAATAATATCCATTCAGCTAGAACAACACTTTTTGCAAAAGATTTGTTCCTGGAGTTGGTAATTAGGCAATGAACTTGGTTGTCTTGCTATAAAAAAGGAAGGGGGAGGGAGCGATAATCTTTACAAGGGCAGCCTAGGATGTTAGCAACTTGGCAGTCTTGAAGTGCAGTTAGCAAAACAGCTGTTCAGGTCCCATAGCCTTTATGGGCTTTGAGTTGAGCAGAAGGATTAACAGAATTAGAGGGTTTGCAGAAACAAGATGGAAATTTTCCATTGGAAAGGAGCTTGAAATGGAACATTAAATGAAAGTATAAATCAACATTTTGCACGGTGGGGGTAGAAAAATGCATCGTCTTGCAACAGAGTGCTGTTAACCGAGCAGACGCTTGCCAAAATCCCAGAGAAAGCACAGTCCTGTTCAAGCTCAGGCCGGGCAGTTTGGATAAACTACGAGGGAGGGTTTGGATTCTGCTGTGTGGCAGATAAATAAGCAAGGGTGGTCGCCCGTGTAGAATTATTGCAGGGTCAGGCTCGAGGGGGTCTGGGGAGTCTGCTAAGAACATTTTGGAACAGCGCACTGCCCTAGGTTTAAGGAGCTGCTTTAAATTGAGCAAGAGCTATGTTCCATCTGGCCCCATCGACGAAGACTGGAGGCAGGACTCCCAGGGCATTGACAATGGTGTATGCATGGATTGTGAGATCGGCATCTGAAACGTCAACAAATTCAACCAAACAAGTGGGAGGACCTGCTATAATGGTCAGAAAACTATTTTGTGAATCTGAACTTGACTCCTTTGCCCATTGTAACCACACACACACACACACAAACAGCTTTTTCTCACTCACACACAAGCAATCCCCTTCTCTCTCACACCTGCACTCAACAACTTCTGCCCTGAGAGCCAGTGTGGTGTAGTGATTAAGAGCGGTAGACTGGTAATCTGGGGAACCGAGTTCGCGTCTCAGCTCCTCCACATGCAGCTGCTGGGTGACCTTGGGCCGGTCACACTTCTCTGAAGTATCTCAGCCCCACTCACCTCACAGAGCGTTTGTTGTGGGGAGGAAGAGAAAGGAGAATGTTAGCCACTTTGAGACTCCTTCGGGTAGTGATAAAGCAGGATATCAAATCCAAACTCTTCTTCTTCTTCTCGTGGAAGAGTGAGGTGTCAATCCCTAAAAATACATAACACCCAAGCACACATTTTCTGTCCTTTTCTCTCACATCCTGTACAGTCATACCTTGGGTTACAGACGATTCAGGTTGCACGGTTTCGGGATACAGACACACCAAAACCCAGAAGTACCAGAAAGGGTTACTTCCAGGTTTCAGCACTCGCACATGTGCAGAAGCGCTAAATCATGCTTTGTGCATGTGCAGAAGTGCCGAATCACAACTGGCGCGTGCGCAGATGTGGCGCTGCGGGTTGCGAACGTGCCTCCCGCACGGATCACGTTCGCAACCCGAGCATCCACTGTATAGATTAGACACACGCATAGCATATAGCATGAGTTTGAATCAAAGTGTCCAGAGGAGACTGTGAAAGGCAGAGATCCCCCGATCCACCTTTCCTGCTGTCTTGGATCTTCCTGGACAGCCCTCCACCCTCCATTTGGACTGATGAAGCTCAGATACAATGGAGAAGCTGGGAAGGCTAGGAAGCACATCCCATCAGCTCCTGATCATTGGCCTGAGAGAACTGTTGGGGCAACCTGCCTTGCAGTGCCAGCCCTAGCATTAGGCGTAGTGAGGCAGCAGGTACATTCCCTTTGCTCCCTTTGATCAGAGCCATGTGTACTACAGGCTCCCCACCCCCATGCATTAGAGGATGCTATTCCATTTCCCAAGTTGATGGGCCATTTCACTGCCAGTCCAGTCAGCTCTTGTATATGGAATGGGGAGATGCACCCCCACCATGTCCTTTGCCTCAGGCGGCAAAATATATTGGTCCAACCCTGATTCTAGGGGACTACTTAAGAAAGACCAGTGTGCTTTGAGAGACAGCGTAAGAGGAGAATGTAGCTTCCTCTTGTTCACTGTGTTTTTCATTGGCTCAGTGTCTACAGCTGCCTGACAATGGTACTGAGCTGCTCTCTTTGTTATAGGATAGGGTTAGGATTATGCATTGCCAAAAAAGAAAAAGGAAACAGATCTTTTAAAAAATGGCAAGAGAACACAGGTTTGTATAAAATTGTCATATGCTAATTTATTATATGTATAGACACAAACTTAGAAATAATTAGCGGAATTTAAATAGAAATGAGTCTCACTATAGCGAGGAAGATCACTATAGTGATCTGTGTGCCTGCTCAGTCTGCTGCCCAGGTGCTAACAGCTAAGAGGCAACATTGCAAAATGTTGCTTTGCTTTCTGATGGTTCATTATCTGTAAAGCAGACTTGGACATAAGAAGGCCAATGACCCATCTAGTCCAGCATTCTGTTCTCACAGTGGCCAACCAGAGGCTTTTGGGAAGCCCCAAAGCTGCGTACAACAGTACTCTGCCCACTCTGTCCCAGAAACTAGCTTTCAGTGGCATTCGGCCTCTGACAGTGAATGCAGAACCATTATAGAACCATACAATCATAGAACTGTAGAGTTAGGAGGGATCCCAAGGGTAACTGCTGAGACCCTCCACAAATTTGTGCAACCAGCTTTTAAAGCCGTCGAAGTTGGCGTCCATCATGACCTCTTGTAGGAACAAATTCCAATTTTAACTATGCACTGTGTGATGAAGTACAGTTGCACCTTGGATCCCAAATGCCTTGCGAGTCGAACGTTTTTGATCCCATGAGTGTTCTGGTTTGCGAATGTTTTTTGGAACCCGAATGTCCGACGCGGCTTCCGCGGCTCCTGGTCAGCTGCAGGAACTTCATGCAGCCAATCAGAAGCTGCGCCTTGGTTTCTGAATGTTTTGGAAGTCGAACGGACTTCCAGAATGGATTCCATACGACTTCCAAGGTACCACTGTACTTTCTTCTGTCTGTAGTTTCATTGAAACTGTGATGGATCAAATCCTGTGCACACTTAATTGAGAGAAATTACCATTGAATTTCATAGGATTTACTTCTGAATAAATAGAATTGGACTTGTTCTGTATGCATATATTTACCAGAGAATGTTCAAAATCCCCTAGGCGATTACACATTCCTAAAAATCATTTGGAGGTGATGCAATATTGATAACCAGTGTACAAATTACTCTGAATAGGCTGCCAATTCATGCACATTCTTCCTGCCATCATACAAATCTGCATAATCGTAGATATTTATGCACATTCTCCATATATTATTAAATGTTCCAAACTTTAAAGATTAGCGGCAATGAAAAACAGAAATCATGCTGAAGTTTCGTAATGGTTGGCGGGCGTATTCAAGAGCCCATGCATGAGAAGAGAGAAACAAAGATCTTCTTTGAAGTAATGAATCTCCCAAATTGTACGCAACATTAATGTGTTTCTTGAAGTGAAGTATGCAACACAGAGAACAAATCAAAAAAGTGTTGGTGAATGATGTGATGACAGCTTTGTGCCCATCACACATTTATCACAGGGTGAGATACCCATCTGTTATGTATTTAAGCACTTTTATTAGGCGCTTCAGAGATGTGTAAGCACATAAGAATCTGCCAGTAGATTCTGCAAATAAATAACCACATGTTGTGTGGATGGTAGAGGATGAGTTGCTAAGAATATGAATTGTCAAGATGTCATCCCTCAGAGAAGACAATGGTTTCTGTGGCATAAACTTTTTGTGAGTTATTTGGGAGAAGCGATGCTTTAGCATAAGAAGAATCAGGCAAACGTTTGTGCTTTTATTTATATAAAAAACATTTTTGGGGGTCAAACATAGACACTGAGTGAATGGAAGAAGCATTGTGTAGTGGTTAGAGTATCAGATGGGGACCTGGGAGACCAGGGTTCAAATCTCCACTTAGTCATGAGGCTCACTAGGTGACCTTGGGCCAGTCACTGTCTCTTAGCCTAACTTACTTTACAGAGTCGTTGTGATGATAAAATAGGGAGGAGGAGAACCACCTTGGAGGTGTTACTGTTACTATGTGTGTCTGAACCCACACATGTGTCCACCACTCATGTGTATTCATACACACACCAATGAGAACTTGGGGATCTTTTGCTAGAGTTGTAACATGTCCTCTTATGAGCATATGTTTGCCTCTATTCTTGCCTAAATAAAACTCCTGACACAAAATAATTAATTTTATTCTGGGCTGGCAATCCTAAAGACCTCTTAAATGTCAGATGGGCGACCCAGTAATTTTTAGAGGCAAACAAACTAGCATTACATTAAGATTCTTGAGAGACACGTTGACAAAGAAAGCTTGGTTTATTACATGAAATGAAAATGACAGAATGCATAAGTGCTGTTTCAGACAGTAAGATTACGAGTTCAGTAGGAAGCATATCGTACCACATATACAGAGTGGAAGACTCCCTACCTATACTCAAACGCCTATGGAAGTGAGTGTGACTATTTTGCCAGCAGGACTCACACTAATAGTAAGTTAAGAAATGGAGGGCCAAGGAAGAGTATATACCTGTCCTCAAGGTGTGTGCTGACTCCTTGGGAGTGCTGAGTCCTGATGGAGCTAGGAGAGTCAAACTAACTTTTTGGAATCTGAAGTTTTTATGCTTTTTTGTTTAAGGCATTCCAGTGGAGAGGAGAGGGAGGCCTTGAGATGAGCAGCTAGTTTTATTGTGTGTTTGAACTTATCCCAGAATTTTCTGCCTTCTTCTCACCTCACCCTTCTTGCAAATTAAGCCATCCTAGTGGGCTGTGACTGAACTGGCTATCTTTTGTCTGCTCTCTGCCTTACCATTATCTTGATGGAAGCCACATTTTAAACTTTTCCTTACTTTTTGAATACTTAATTGAAGTGGTTCTGGTCACTTTTCTAGGGACTACTTTGGCTTCCTGTGAAAACTTGCAAAACTGGCTTGAGCAGGGACTGTGGGAGGAAGACATATCCAATAAGTAGATGGGTTGTGGGAGAAACAGCCTTGCAATTCCTTCTCTTAAGGAAAGTCATCAGCACACAAGGTGCATCAGTTTTACGGGGCCCATTTGGATCATTCGATTTTGAGACAGGAAACAACCAACTTGCATTGCTTCAGATCTTACCCATAGCTGCATTGCCAAAAGACAGAAATAAAATGAAAATTAAACCAGTGAAACTTGAACCATTCCAACACTTGCTTACTTCTGACCAGAGCATGGCTTCTACAGTGGGACTCCCTTGTTTCCTACTTCGGTGTTCCTCATTCTGCTTCAATACTTGGGGCAGTAATTCTCTGTTTCATGTTGCTTTCTCTGTGGGACTGGAGGAAGAGGTCAATTATTGTCAGGTCTGCTATGCTTAAAAGCTGCAGCACTCTGGTAATTAAGGCTGTTAGGGAGAAGCGAGGGCCCCTTTTCCTGCCTATTGATGTAGAATGAGGTCCGAAGGGAGATTTGTAGTTTCAATTCAAATGCAGGCCTGGTCTTTAGCAGTATGATTGAGTTTGCTGAAAAGATCTGGACACCATCTTTTGTGCTGACCATTTGGATCTAATAATATGCTTTAGGGATTAAAGCAATGCAGAATTTGGGAGGAGGAGGAGGAGAGAGGAGAAGTGTGCTTTCTGCTGGATGACTTTTGAGAAAAGTATCTCCTGTTTCTTAGCTAGATGGACCCCACCAAAATAATGCACAGATGGACAACTACTTTTATATAACACAAAAACTTATTTTGTAGCGAAAGGGAATGCCCATTTGGGGACTATAATTTATGGTTGATTTTGAGCCTTTTTAATCTGTTGAAATATGAAGAAAAACTGGTTGTTCCTTGGTTTGTAAGTTATAAATCATTTTCTAATAACAAAAGAAACAGAAAGTGTTTGGAAATGACAATTGACTGTGGCAGCCAGAGTGCTAATTGGGCAGACCGCAAAGGAGCATGTTATTTCAATTTTATGACAGCTTCACTGGCGGATGATTCCAGACATAGGTCTCGAAATTTAAAACCCTAGCAGGTATCTGGGGGCATACGCATGTCCTCACAGAGCTCCTCTAGTGCCCTAGTGGCAGCAACTTCACAACTTGTGGCATTGTCCTAGCATGGTATGTCCATATACGACAGTGTGAAGCACTGTGGAAAATTAAAAATGGCAGCTTACCAGGCTGAAATGCCCAGCATAGAGAAGGCAGGGCAGCCACCAATACTGGCAGGATGCTGAGGCCCCAGCTGTTGAATGACAGTGCTGAGCACTGGTGCCAAAACTGGAACAAGAGAAATCGTTTATTGGCAGCATAATCAGAGGGTGAAGAGCAGTAGGTGAATTAAAACAAGAAGATTGTGTGGGCAACCTGGGGGACAGCAATTTGTTCACAAATAGACATTTATATGTTAGTAAAGGTAAAGGTAAAGGGACCCCTGACCATTAGGTCCAGTCGTGGCCGACTCTGGGGTTGCAGCACTCATCTCGCTTTATTGGCTGAGGGAGCCAGCGTACAGCTTCCGGGTCATGTGGCCAGCATGACCTAGCCGCTTCTGGCGAACCAGAGCAGCGCACGGAAACGCCGTTTACCTTCCCGCCGGAGCAGTACCTATTTATCTACTTGCACTTGACGTGCTTTCGAACTGCTAGGTGGGCAGGAGCTGGGACCGAGCAACAGGAGCTCACCCTGTCACGGGAATTCGAACCGCCGACCTTCTGATCGGCAAGTCCTAGGCTCTGTGGTTTAACCCACAGTGCCACCCGCGGCCCTTTATATGTTAGTAGGACAGAGCTAAAAAGGAAGCAGGGGCAATGCTTGCAAATGTTTCTTTTAGCATTGTTCACTGATTTTAAAAAATAAATAAATTATCACTGCAAAGGGGACAAAAGTGTTCACCTTTTCATAAAGAATTGCCCAGAATAAGCTTAGTTTTCTCCTATGTAAAACAGTCCAGTCACACAGGATGAGTCCTACCACAAGAGGAGGCAGAGGAAGGGTGGATGGGCAGCATGGAGCAATGGCAAACTATTGCCCTTTGCCCCCGAGCTTCCTGTCTCTCTAAGGTACAACAGGAAGTGTTCTCTCATTGTCAGTGTGGAAGTTTGATTCAATGGCCAGTGTGGTTGGTTTTGTGGGATGGGCAGGGCCAGCCCACTACATTTTATCACCTGAGGCAAACTACAAAATGGCACCTCCCTCCAGCTGAAAAGGGTTTCCTTTCCTGGATCCTTTAGGGAGACCCTCTGCCCCTTCCTGTGGAGTCGGTTTCTTTCCTTTCTCAAGGATAGTTCTTGGCTGAGATGAGCTGACTGTGAGGGACGCAAGCTAAGCCAGGCTATCAGTTTCAGATGTTCCATCTGTGGGAGAGCAGCAGGCTGCTCAGAGAACAATTTGAATGCTATTACTGCCATCATCCTTTACAAAAGAAAAAAGAAAAAGAAAAGGCGGAGGGGGAAAGAAGAGAGTAGTTATATGCAATCCTGTTAGAGCTCATCCAGAGTAATAACCCTCTAAAGAGCTATCATGCAATTTCAGCCTGTTCTCAAAGAGGGCTGACAGGAGGAGGGGAAGGATCCCTCCACCTCAGTCATTCCCAGAGGCTTCCCAACTAATTTTAAAAGTAAGGAGAATCAGATACGTCTCCATCCGGAGTGAAAAGTTCACCAGGTTCTCAGCTGAGAGTGAGCAAAAGCTAACAGGTTTTATAAAAGGTGTAAAAGGAGTAAATCTCATAATGGGGCGGGGGACATGAAAGGTAATGGTGTATTCCACTTACCTTGCCTTTTTCCTTTTTATGCTTTGGGGGAAAAATATTTATAAGCAGTGCTTTTTTCTGGGGGGACGCAGGGGTTCGCATACCCCTAAGCATTTTGTGAATCTAAGTTTGGCCTCATTGAGGGGCAGTATTTCAATACGAGTCGGAAAATGAGAGTACCCCTAAACATTTTTTTAAGAAAAAAAGCACTAAAATAAGAATTATTTTATATTTCAGAATAACGTTTAACATTGAATATCTTGCCAGAGTCTTCATTGTCATAACAAAATTGCAATAATAAAAGGAACTGAAAGTACAAAGAAAAGAGCTTAGTATTTTATAATGCTTTGCTATCATTTATCTTAATATGTAAAGCAGTTCCACATTATTTCTAGTACAGCCTTCCCAATGCTATTATACTGAGCTTTATATTTCCAATATTCAACAAATTTATAACAGTGTTCCAATGCTTCTTTTTCTTTATTGCTTTGCTATCCCACAATCTCTTGTACTATCTTATTTTGTGCATTAGTATTCTATGCCAGATGGCTTGTTCCTACATGTTGTGGTTTTTCCAATACTTAGCCATTAATATTCTAGCTACAACCAGAATATTACTCTAGCTGCAACTGACACATTTCCTATCATTTTTTCTTAAAATTTTGGCACCTCATCAGTTCATTTCCACAACGATATAACACAAGGTGTTATTAAAATTTGCATCCTGTGGGTTTGTTATTTCCCCCCCTTTTCTTATACTTTTTATACAACAATCCCACCAGATATGACCAAACCCATTGCCCTCTATAAAGGGGTTGGCCCTTTCCTCCATTTGCAACTTGATTGCAGTGAGCTCGGGCTACCCCGATTGCGCCTTAGTAATTGGTAGTTTGTTTGCCATGATATATGATGACAAAATCAGTGGCTGCCTACCTGTGAAAAATGAGGGAATAAAACAAGAGGACAAAAGATAATGCAGATTTGCATAAAGTGTGCGTCTGTTAATCATGTGATTATCATATGTACAAATTTAAAGGTATAGGGCCATATACAACATTCTCTGTTGGTGCAAAAGCCCTCATGCTGGTAAATGGCAGAGTTTAAAGGTTATGCAACAAAGAAATACAGTGCAACAACTGCCTGGACTAGTGTATTGGCGAGGCAGCTACGGCAACAGCTCGCCTCTCCAAAAGGGTATGGGAGAATGCAATGCTAATGATCAATACCAACATGAAGGTCTGCCAGGCTTGTATGTTGAGCACACTGCTTTATGTTGCTGAGATGTGGGCAATTTATACCTACCAGGAGCAACACCTCAATGCCTTCCACATGCACCAGGAAGATTTTGGGCAACACATGGCAGGACAGAGTCTCAAACAAAGATTTGCTACCTCCAAGCCGACATTCCCACCATGTTTACATTCGTATCTCAGTGCCGACTACGCTGAGTTGGTCATGTCCACAGAATGGAAAATGGCAGATCCCCCAAAGATGTGCTGTATGAGGAGCTGGCTTCAGGCACCAGGCCCATTGGCAGAGGTGGAGCTAGCTGCTCTGGCCCCCGGAGCTGGGCAAGCATCCCAGGGGGGTGCCACCCGTGGCGAGCGTACCAGGGGGCGGGGCGGTGATGTCACCCCCCCAGGGATGACACCCAGGGCGGGCCTCACCCACTGCACCCCCTTCCTCTGCCAGTGCCTGTTGGCAGACCAACTTTACAATGATGTCTGCAAACGTGACATGAAGGCTGGCAACATTAACTCAG